CCTTTCTGAGTGACAAGTAGTCCTGTCACTTTGCTCTTGGTTTCCATTATGAACAGTTAAGTCTAATGAAAGATACCTACCCAAAAATCATGCTTACCTCATCTAATTATGTTGATATTCCAACATACGTAAGACATAAATTCCCAGTAGTATTGCAGGGTGACCAAACATACTGGATCCAGCATAGACCCAAAGTTGAGTGTTAGATCATGGAAAGCCTAGCTTTTTCACTACATATAGTGTCAAGATAAAGTAAAAAGAGCAACTCTTTAAAAGTGTATCTATATATATTGTTAATTTTCTTAGAGTAATTCAGATCTCTTGGGCCTCAAATTTGATGCTGAAAGATTTCTAGCTTTGGTCTAGATAATAAGAACCATGAGCATCTTCCAGTATTTTGATAATGGCACTTTTTGAACCATCTAGATGAAGGAATAGAGATGAGGATAAATAAAAAAAAATAATAAAAAAAAAGAAGATTTTAGGAGTTTCAGCAGATTTTCAGGAAAAAAGAAATTAAGAAAAAGTTATGCATTCCAAAGGTACAAATTTGGGGAGGGTTTATTTCTTGATGAGACTTTAAGTCATCAATATTATAGCCTAACTAAGCATTATCTCTGATTCTGAAGGGGTTTATTTCTTTAATTGTTCTTTGATTTTACTGCTTGGAGACTAGCCTGCTAATTTTATTCATAGCAGAGGTGTTATTAACCATACAACTGTGCCCATTGCCAGAGGCAGTCTCAGCGCTCACTGCTCTCTCTTTGTTTTTGTTTTGTAGAAATGTATTCCTTTGGCTGCTGTGGCAACTGTTTATTACATACATTTATAAAAGTACCTACTGATATCACTGTAGCATCTGGGTAGGCAGCTGTGACTCCCTTCCCTACCCCACTGTTGCTGCAGCACCCGCTCTGCTTGCTCTTCATTTTCTACGTCTCAGAAGAAGGGCAACAGGGAAGGAAAGAAACAAAATGAGTAACTGCTGTACTGTAATAAAATCCCCCTGCACCATTTTCCACCCCCTCCTCCTTTCTGGAGAAAGATGAAGAATAGCAGGATGTGTTGATGGCTGTTGATGAGAGAAGAAGAAAGGGGGTGTTAGCGGGAGGGGGATCTGCATGTACCTGAAAGGAGGAAGGATCCACCATGATGAAGGAGCAATGAATTATCACCATACAGAGAGGGGGTGGGAGAGACACCACGCCCAAGCAGAAAATAAAAATACAGGTCCTACGAAGAAGAATCATCACTAACAAGGGAAGAGAAAGGGTGAAGGCTCAAGAGGTGGTGGATCAGGTGGGCTTCCAGAATGGAGAGGAGAAAGAATTGGGAGAAGAGCAGAAGAGGTTCAACAGCTAACTGGTGCTGCTGGCACTATCTGTATCCGTTCCAAAGCCAAAGATACACAGCAGCGGGAAAGCAGGGCTGAGAACTACAGTTGCTCACGGGGCTGGGATGCCAATGCTCCTCAGTGACACTATTTTGCATTTTGTTGAATGAGGCTGGGCTGGGTGTGCAGGTGGGTCTGAGTCACCTGGTGATGTTAGCATCAGCATAGCTCCTGTTGATTTACTCCTTCCTAGATTAAGATGATCCAGCAACCACTTTGCCAGCATGGCCCCACTGCTGGTCTTGTGGCTGTCCCCAGGCAGGGGGACAGCCCTGAGCTGTGGTACAGACCAAAGCAACTCTTTCACTTAGGACCAGTTTCGGTATTGGCACCATGTTCAAAACAGAGAGCAGAGGAATATACTGGGTTTACTTTAATGAGGCTTCGTATGAGCTTCTCAAGAGACGTATCTCACTGAAAGCTGAATCTGCAGTCTTCTGTTTTGTCACATCCATCCTCTTCCCTCACCAGCTGTGCTCTTAACTTATTTTGCCAATCTTCCAATACTTTTGTGTCCGCTTTGCCCTCTGGGCAACTGGCTTCCCAGAAGCATTCATGGAGGGCAGCTAGAGGCAGGGTCTGCTCCAGCATAACTGTTAGATGTGCAAGAAATGGCACTGCAAGAAGTGTTGTATGTCTTATAAATGGAGATAATTCTGTGGTGATATTCCCTCCTCAGAAGGAAACCTGTTAAATAGTAAAGTCAAGGCTCCGCATAATAGAAGGAAGAGACTTAAGCGTCTCCCTCTTCTTTCTGCTGTCATATGTTGCTGAAGATAGTTGAGAGGGTCTGCATCTTCCATGGACTGCACCTAGTGCAGAGGAACCCCGGTTCTGATGTGTGTTTCTGTGTGCTAAGGCAATTCAGATTAGATAAGGCAGTAATAACAATTAATTGCCATAGACAATGCCATGGAAATTGAGTTCCTGGACAAAATTAGTATAATATCCTGGTCCTGCTTTATTCTACCCTGTTAGAAAGGATGAGGATAAAAATGAACTTAAACTTACCTAGCCCAGAAGAATCTTTCCATTTCTTTCTGAGTCCTGAGGAATGGGAAGGCCTCCCAGCCATCTCGCTTTCCTGTTTTATTTGGCCTGGTGGCTTCCCCCGACACACCGTTAGCATGTCAGAACTAGAAGGCAATTTAAGCTACAATTCCTTTTCTTACATCTTTGTTTTATGCTATAGGCTTGCCTGTCCCTTGTGTTAAAGAGCACAGTTACAATTTAAAAGTGGATACCAGCAAGATTCAGAGACCAAGAATGGAAGGAAAGACATTGAACTGGTCCTCATTTTGTACAGTATAAGGTTATGCTACCTCCAGTTATAGACGCTGGGGAAGCAGGGGGTCCCTCATCAAGAACCATAAGTTAGATTAGAAAGTAATAATATTATTTTGACTACATTTATTACATACAACCACTTGATAAACATGTGGGATACTGTTATTTCTTTGAATTTCTGTATTTTTTTGAGTTATTCTCTGGAAATCAAGTAAATTTGTATACAAATCACAGCTCTGATAAAACTAAAAATCAACTGTACTTTCATAACTTCTCCAGATAGGTTTTCATCTGGTATGTCTCATAGATGCTGTTGCTTTCGTACAATTCTCCTTATACATCATTTTAAATTTAGCATTTCAGGCTATTCTAAATGCAGGGAAAGCTTCGTGTTTATAATGGATTTTACTGGACAAGCAGTTTCTAGCAGCACTACTTTCAGGTGACTGCCTGCCTAAAACATGTTGAGGGAATAGAAAATACTCAGTGCATTAAGCATATTTAAAGCAAAATGAATTCAGTTATAGTAGCATTTAAGGTATTTTGCTACTAACTGTAACTGATGTGCATACATTTCACCTGCAAGTATGTATGTGGGAAGCAGCAGCAGAACTAAAATATGTAAGGAGAGGCAAAGGAGAGTGAAATGTAAGGAGACCATTTTACATATTTCGACTTCTTTGTCCTGAATTTCATACACCCATAATGATATCATTCTGGAGGAGGAAGAAGGCTGGCTTCATGTCCACCCACCCCGGCTCTCCCAGTGAGCAAAGCCTCCCCAGCGGGTAGACCAGGCAATATTCTGTGCAGCATGCCATCAGCTGTAGGGGAATAATGACAGCAGAGAGCTAGCTCTTGACAAGCCATTGATAACGTCAGGTCTCCAGGGCCTTTATGCTCAGTTGCACCTCCTTGGTCCTCTGTTACAAATTCCACCTGGGAGAAAACGCTGGAAACGTTGGGAGTGCCAGCTCCAGAGTCACACCACGTGCTTCTCACTGGACTCATCCTGCAGGCTCGCTGGGCTTTCAGCGTCAGGGCTCAATCTGGGAGGCTGCGCTGCTGGTCTGACAGCAGACCTGTCCTTCTCCTAACCACCTTATCCTCATGGTTCAGTCACTTCCACCTGGAGCTGCCACACCACTGCTATTTCTCCCCTGAAGCTGACTGATTTAGCAGCGGGTTAGTAGGAGGCAGCGTGCGTATGCTCTGGCCCTGGGTCAGTTGAGTTCAAGACAGATTTAGTCTGCCCTTTGCCGAGCGGGTGCACATCTGAATCTGTCCTTCCGAAGATAACGGAACTTCAGGCACCGAGATGTTGGGTTTGCTTTCTTTGAGATCTGTGGTTTGGTTGCCAGTAACATTAATAGAGCTGGAATATAAATCATACCGAATGTAAAACATTTGGGCTTCAGTGTGCCGGGCAGATATCCATGTAGAGAGAAGGGCAATTAAATCCTCTTGCGTTATAAACCTTGTAGAATAAAGCTCTGGCTGAGGTCTTGCACATATGGGAATTTTCTCTGGTGAAGCCTGATGAGTCGTGGTTCTGGTTGCCAATAATGTGGATAAATAAAAGGCTTAACAATTAGGAAAGAAGGAAAACAAAGATAATACACCTGTCAGACTTTTTGTATTATTAATGTGCAAGTGAAAAAACGTTATGCTTGTGCATGCTGTTGCCCTTAATACCAGCTGTTGCCTGTGCACGTGGATCGGTATTTTGCATCGGCTGAACAGCCTTGCTGCCAGCAAGCACTCTAACAGGCAACGTCGATAACAGCAGTGTTCCCACACTCCATACAATTCAAGCTATTCTTCAAATTAATAATAATACTTAATAAAGCTTCATCTCTCATTTGCAAAGAAAACCTTCAATTAATGTTAATCAGCATCCTCAGAATGTGATCAGGCTGGGCTTGTAGCTGGACGTGCCGAAACAGTTCAACTGGCAGATGGAGCATTTTCCAACTATTCTAATTAATGACTGCTCATTTCAAATGTTAATGCAATTAAATAAATAGGCAAAACAAATAAAAAGAATATATGTTATGAAAATACCACTATCAGAGAGAGTTCTGATCAAAAAAGTGAGCCTCGCTCAAACCCAAAAAGGGCCCGAACCATCCCCTCCTGGCTAAATAAGGTCCAAAAAAGACAGGGCTTGCTTTTGTTACTTGCTGTTTCCAACCATTTCTCTGGGATTGACATTTATATCACTTCCATTTTAACCTGCTGGCATCAACTGAGTCATTGCTTCTCCAAGTATTAGAACATTTTTTCTGCAGAAAATGGGAAAGGATTTCCTTCACGTATTATGGGCTCTTTTTCATGTAAGATTTAGCCTGCCCCTGCATCTTGCCTATTCTGTTTGAACTAATTGCCTGTTTGGTTTTTTTTTTTAAGGTTTTTACTTTCTGTGAACCTTGTATACCATAACACTGATGTAGGACCACATTCGTTTGGGCTTATAAAGAGTTCAATTAGCCCCTTAATGCCTAGTTCAGTCACAATTAAACCTTCCCTGTTGACTCGGGATTGGTCTTTCTAAAGGCAGTGGAGGTGTTTTTAATTATTCATTCTCTGGTTTGGTTCTTACAGCAGTCTCAGATGTGCTTTATTATTCAAAGGTTAATGCAAACTGAGAACTGGGTAAATTAAATTTGTTTGGCAGCTAGCAACCTGATGTATTATAGACACTGTGAATATATGGATGGCAACACTTCTGCTATTGTGACACTTAAAAAGCCAGATTTTATCTTTAAAACAATTGCTGGTTTTGTTACTATGCCTGATAGAAAATGAATGTTCCATAATGTTATAGACTCCGTAACCCATTTTTGTTAAGAAAGCATGTAGTTTAGAAAGCCAAGAAGCGTTAACAGCTATTATAGAAAATTGATGTAGGTACCATGACTAATGAAGTACACCGTGCGGTACTAAGTCACGCAGTTGTATGCAGGGAATAATGCAGTCAGAAGTTTTAATGAAGGGAGCCCAAGGAATTTCAGGTGAAAGAGGGTTTTATTAACTTTCAGTGAACAAAATGAATAGTTGAGCAGTGAACATGACATGATGTCGTATAATAATTGTATGCCTTGGGTACATTGTGAGGCATGGAGCATAGCCAAGAGCTTTCATCTGTTCTACACACAGGGTTATTTCACAAACCCCTGCATGCTGTGGAAATCTTTATTGCAAACATAACAAGAATTGTTTCACAAGAAATGCCTTAAGACAATACCACCTCACTTATTTGAAATATCTACCAGCACTGCCTTCCTCTGAAAAATATTAATCAGATATCTAGAAGTCACCATCCCAGTTGATCCTAATTAAAATTCCGGTCCTGTGTCGGTGACTGGTATCAGCAGGCTGTGAATCGAACAGAAGTCTTCATATCCCTTAAGAGGCCACCCTGAGTAAAACATGTATTTCTATGGACAAGCATTATGTTGCATGAAAGGAGGCTGTGTTGGCTTTTGGAAGCATCATGCCCAAGAACTTTTATTAGTTTTCAATTTTATTTTTTCAGGAATTGACCGTGTGGGTGATTTTTCTTGTTTCACATACAGAATTATGTTTTGTACATTTTAAATATTGTTTCAGTACTGTGTTTTTAAATGAGGACTTTGAATTAACATAACCCAACAGTTTAACCCGCTTCCTGTTTATAATATTTTTAAGATAGGGTAATGATTGCAGAGTAAAGCAGCCTTCTGTAGTAGTGACTGGAGACCTTAGGTTAGTAACTTAGAAAGTGCAGCTGCAAGGTCATTTGTACCCTGCTCAGTCTTTAGTACAGTCTGTGCTGTATAATAATGTGTGTAATTACACTGCTACTGACTGATGAGGTAGGTGGATGAGGAGGTACGTGAAAATAGGATGGCTTGTGAGGCAAGACAGTGACAAGACATCTCAGCAAAGTCTCTGTATCCTTGCACTGTAAATACTTCACATCTGCCCACTAAAATATTTGAGATAAGACAGTTGGGAATTTTTCTGTGCTTATTTGAATAATTTATAATGTGATTTTAATAATTCTTCCTGGCTGAATATATCACTTCACTGACAGAGCTTAGGACACCAGTTACATGTTTTATCCAGGACTAACTTAACGAATGTGATACACAATTTTAACTTGTAGTGTGATTGCAAAACCAGCGGTACTACTAGTAGACTATAACTGATGTAGTATACGTGATTGTATGTGGTTATTATGTTATATTTTTGTTTTCTGTTTTAGTGCTGGACCCAAAGGAGACAACATTTATGAATGGAGGTCAACTATACTGGGGCCTCCAGGGTCTGTATATGAAGGTGGAGTTTTCTTCCTTGACATTACCTTTTCACCGGACTATCCTTTTAAACCACCTAAGGTTAGTAGGAGGATATTAAAAGTCTGATAGGAGTCCTCTCCTTGCGATATTTTTTAATGTGCATGTTGGTATATCACTGTGGGATGAAACATAAAACTTTCAAGGCAATAATGAGTATTTAAACTGAGTATTTTGATGGAAAGAATTTAACTGCCTAAAATTTGCCTGCATGTTGCCAGTATAGCTGGATGGATATGGATTTATTTAGCAAACAGGTGCATAATTTCCAGCAGTTATTTGCTTTATTTGGATTTGTTTCTAATATGAAAGCATTTATATTTGAGTTGCACCCTTTATAAGCAGCTGAAGATACTTAATCTTTCCTGTTGACCCATATCAGTCACCAGGGGTCTGTGGCAATCTGACAAAAATATGCACCTTTTGCACTACCCCCTATAAATTACTTCTGCAGATGCAAGATACACTATTGTTCATGAAGTTATAAGTAATTGCTTTACATCAGTTTTCTGGAAGAATGTGGAAATACGGCAGCAAAGGCAAGAAACTGGAGTGAAAGACAGAGATTTACAGAATTCGTTACGGATTCGTTTTCTAATGCTGTCAATAATGACACTAACCACATAGAACTGTACCAAATAACATGAAGGTGGCAGATCATTGCCATGATCAAGCAGTCTCGGAATGTCAAACAGGAAAAATCTAGTGATTATGAAGACTGGAAAAACAGCGATGGGATGAAATGCGGTAGTGCAGAGTGTCGTCAATAACCAGTAGTAATAATTGCTGAGGGTGGGTGTCAAAATAGGGCTTTATTGGGTGATCACAGAATTATTACAAACCCCCCTGACTAATGCATCTATAAAAAAGGCAAATACACTCCTAAGATGCATCCTGTGGCATTGCCTGTAGAGATAAGGAATTACCCATGTCATATCCAAGACACTTGTAAGACCTTATCTGGAAGACAGTGCAATTCTTAACACACATGTTCACTAACAGGAACAGAAACTGGGAAAACTTACCCCTCAGGGCTGTTAATGAAATCAAATAAATTGATGGGCCTGTGTTTTATGAAACAAAGTGAAAAGAGGTGAATTGTTCACCTTGCCAGTGTGGAGAGTGAGGGTCTGGAACAGCTCCCCGGGAGGAGCTATGGGAGCAAAATATTTACCTTCTTTTTGATGCATTTGTGAAAGGGTTGGTATGCCAGGTTGGTCTGTAATAGGAGGGTATTGCTTTAAAAGAGAGAGTAGCTGATTCCTATTTGATTACCATGAGTACACTGTTGAAAGAGAAGTGTTTATAAGCAGAGTTTTAATGCCACAGTAATGATGTTTACAGTAGTTAACATTGGTATTATCAGGAGAAGTTTTAAAAAAGAATGAGAGATGCGAATGCAAAGTACTTGTCCTTCTATAAATTGGACTTTCCCAACCAGCGACCTAAAGACGGGTCAGTATAGCAGTATTAGAGATGGTCTAACTTTGTTTCCCACTTTTAGTGTTCCAGTTTAGGGAAGCTTTGAGGTCACTGACAAGTCGTACAGGGGTTGTACACCTTGCTGACTGCACATTTTCTGATTTAGATAACTGTGATTACACAGTGAAGAAAAAATTTGAAACTTCATAACTTCTCCTTCAGTTAGTTAAAACTTTGGGGGCACTGAGCTGGGGGCGATGCCCTGTTCTTCCTGCCTCCCTCCCAGCCCAGGCCAGTCCAGACTTCTTGCTTGTTATACAAGGTCCGGCTTAACAGGCCCCTTTCGTTTGCTTCTTTGCTGGGCTTAGTCTGTTTGTAGTAGCTGTAATGCAAGGGTTACATTCAGTCCCCCAGCAAATTAAAATTATATTATTTAGGGGGTATTGGCATATCCACTAAATTATTTATTGAATATAAAGTAGAGCTTGACGTTCTCTCAGAGATCCAAACCTAATACGTAAAGAACTAGATCTGAAAGACAAGTTGGAGGGATATCTTTTGTCATTCTCTCTGTTGAATCTGTTGAGTCTTGAGGCAATATGTGCAACAGGCATCCTTTCAAAATACAAGGTGAAGGTCCACTTTGCTGTTTCACCACAAGGTAAAGACTTTCTCAATTCACACTCAGTTGTGTTTGGCAACTGTATTATTTTGAGACATGAATAATGCAGCTGTGCATTCCTTATTAATGAAATATCAAGCAAAGAGGTGGTTCTTGTCCTGCTTTTTAATAGATTGTTTTGTCTGCCTTTATCTTGATGCCAATTGTCATTGTAAGAAGTGTGTGCATATAAATCATATGAAAATGTACTGCTTGATAAAGGATGAGAGAGCTGATGATGCCATATCGTATTACTAAAAGGCCAGTATTTTTGATGAGGGAAATTGTTATCTGTAAGAAAGTAATGAGTACATGTGCACAGGGGACTAATGTCAGATATAACTGACTATGTTGCTAGCATATTTTGTACACATGGATTCTTATTCTATTTGCTTCAGCCACTGTTGTAAATGATCCCTATTTTCAGTCCTGCTGTAGGATCTCTCAACCTGTTGCCACTTCATTAGACCTATTTTCCAGACCCTACGAAAGTGATTCATAGGTAAAATAGTTTGGGAAATCCCTTGAACAAAGCAGCGTGGGAAGATGACTGCTTGTCATAAGGTAGCTGCTGCCAGTCAGTATTGTTGGGAAACGGTGGTTAAATACGTTCTCCACATGATTATTTCTAGCAAAAGAAAGGTAGTGAGTACATGGAACGTAACGTATGGCCTCACGGTACAGTGCTATCTGCGTCACTGGGTGTTGACATCTCTTCTACTTCACCACAAGATTTGTGATATTTGGTGCTGTTCTCAAAATCATTGGGTCCTAGGGTTATGGGAATAGATCATCTTAGATTTTTTCCTTAAGTTTAGTCCCATTCCTTATGGCTCTATCATCTTAAAAAATCTAGAGATAAAGTACAAGACTGTGGAATGTACTGAGAAAGACATAAAATGTATCCCTGAGTGCTGGCAAGATTGCCTCCCTGTAAGTACATAGCAGAAGGGGTCTAATTCACATTTCTCGCTATGATTGAATTCATACATTCCTCCTGAGATTTCTGTGGGCCATTTTCATCCCTCTTTTACTATGAAGTAAGGAAATATTTAAATGAATACTGTCAAAATTGATCTTCCAAAAATGTGACCACAAAAGACCTGGGAAGAAACAGAAGCTGTGTTTCCCAGATGCAATTACTTGACCCAGCCTGAGGTTCCAAAGGCAAATGCCCATGTCACATAACATAGTTAAAGGGCCTAATCCAAAGTGTATTAAAATCTGCAGAGAGATTTCCACAATGCCTTTTCCTTATCTATTTGCAGATGTTGTGCACTCTGTTAGCGTGCATGTGTATGTTGCACATGGATGTTGGGAAGGGTAAAATAATTTTTAAAATAAGAAAAATATATTGAAAGCAGATTCTGGATAAACGTCTTTTACTTTTGCTATTATAATTAAAATACGTTTGTGTTGTAACCACTGTTTGGTCTGTATTATACAAAGTTCTCAGTATTTTCTAAAGGATCCAGATTCCTTCTATAAACACTGTTGATGCCTATTCTGATCATTGGGCACCCTGCTGCGTATTGGAAAACATTACTTAAAATAAAATTAAACATCTGAGAGCACATTTGCCCATGAAGAAAAGGTGTTTGACCTTTATTTTGGAATTTTTTTAACAAATGTATACAGTAATTTTGATTTGTTCTTCCAGATAGTTAACCTGCTTTCCCAGCTTGTCTTTATCATGTAAAAGAAACTGAATCACTCATTCATTCAGGTTTTGTTTAAACAAAGAAAATCTATCCAAAACTTCCATTTTTATGTATTTCTTCAGTTTTTACACTTTTGTGGCCTTCTACATCACATCCTCTTAAGATTTTAAAGTTTTATCTCTGTTCTTTACGTCCCCTAATTGTACAGTGTGGTCCAGTTCACGTTCCTTGTTTTGTATAGCTGAGCATCACTGCCATCAGGTTTCCCTTCCGGTCTGCACCAACCAGTCTTTCCCCGTACAGGTCCATAGTTTTCTTTTTCTCTGTCCTTACCTGTCAGGGTCTCTCTAAAGTTAAGCCATAAGCATAATATCAAATTAAGTTATTCTTCACCAAAATAGAATATACCATGTGGTAGGTCAGAGTATAATTTGCTCTCACGATATTAATTTTTTTCCCCTTTGAAGTCAGTCTATTTCAGTCTTTCAACTTTGTCTCATGCCTTGAAGCTGGACTCCAGATTTTCCAAGCCAGAGGTCACTGACCCTTTCAGCTCTGCTTTTCTTTTAAATCAATGGCATTTGGCTTCACTCACAACTGCAGCACACTCGTGCAGAGGAGGGAGTTGTTCTTCCCCAAGAAAGTTTATCTATGTGTGACTGATGCCGCCTGAATAGGAGCGATGGAGGGCCATCCCAGCCTAACTCCGATTTATCTCTACAACCAGAGAACACGATTTTTAGAACAGCTCATCTGAGAACTGACAAATTAGCTTTGGCTTTCTGGGAGGCTCTAATCAATTAAAAATATTTCCTCGCCTCCACTGTGAGGGATCTCCTGTAGCACTGCAGAAATTAGCTGAGCACCCGGTTGGCTGAGTCAGCAAGAAGGCGAGCAGCCTGCAGAATCGCCGTTCTCTTTTCAGCTGCATCCTAAGTATCACACTGGTTTTATGAGATGCCAGGCGGGAGGAAGGTATGGAACAGACAAAGCAAGGCATAGATGTGGACGGGTACTGATAAGGCTTCAGTCTTAGTCACAAGGTGAGGTTTCACTTCAGCCCCAAAATACAGCATCTCCCTTGTAGTGCAGTGGGATGAAGAACAGAGAAAGATGTGCCCTGTTCAGAGCATCCACTTAAATAAATGAATAAAAATACCTAGATGGCCTGCCAAGGAAATAACCTTACATTTCTCCACTGTCTTAAAGACCCCTCAACCTTTTTTAGAAATACCTTTGAGATTTCTTTTTCCTGCTAACTATCTTCCTTTCATCCTTAATGGATTCAGACAGTTCGC